ACAGCATTTGAAAGGAAAGCAGGTATGAGACCACCTCTTCAAAGAAGAAAAAAAATGAAATGTCCATCACGGAGGGCACATTCTCTGTGCCTTTACTCCAGGTCCTCGCCAAGGCGGGTGGCCGCAGGCGTGGCATTTCCAGCTGTGAACAGCAGTGTCGATGCCCACAGAGCCTGCAGAAACCAGAGACGTCGACTCCGTTTTCTTTAGAATGAGTTGACGCTGTCATCCATATGTTCTCTCCCTTGTTTTGTAAATCTTAGGATATAGTGAGAATTTGGGGGGTGGGAGTACGTTTCTTTTTCTTTGTAGCTTTGATACTCCTGGTCAGTACTATAGAAAGTTAGACACGTTCTACAGACTTAAAAATATCAGATAGTTGGGCATTCCGTTCTGGAAACATCTCTAAACCTTGGCTTTGAGACGCCTCCATGCTCACTGTGGGTGCTGTCTTGCCTCCGGGCCTCTGCCCCGGGAGACGTGTTTCTGAGACGTGGGACTGTGTCCTTACCTCGGAAGCCCGTCTGTCACTCTCGGGACGCATTGCCCTCCTTTCTGGCTCTGTCATTGTCACCTGCAGTGGGCTTGTCTGTTTTTTTGGATCCTGGTACCGAACTCACTTTAAGGCACACGGTCTCCTCTATGACCATGTGGATGTGGGTGTGGCAGATGTAGCCGTGTGGCCTGAGGGTCTCTTCCTAAGGAGGAGCTTCTCTGTGCTGTGTCCTGGGATGTGGGTGTAGCCGTGTGGCCTGAGGGTCTCTTCCTAAGGAAGAGCTTCTCTGTGCTGTGTCCTGGGCCTGGGGCGTGGGGCTGAGTCCAGGAGAGGTGAGTCTGAGTGGACAGGCCTGTAAGCAGGTAACTAGCTGTCACTGACTGCTAGGCAGGAAGTGGGACAGGACTGGCGTGGACAGGAGCCCTGGGGAGGGCCGGGATTGTACCGGGGAGGTGACATTTGAGCTCTGGAAGGCTGCATAAGGAGGTATCCGGGCACAGGGCCTGCCTGGGCAAGGGCGGGGTCTTGAGAAGGCACGCTGGGCACGCTCCGTGCGGCTGTGCTGGGAGGCTGGGCAGGGTGGCGCTCTGATGAGGAGATGGCAGCCACGGGCACCGCTTGGAGGCTGCTGCCTGTCCTACAGAGACAGACAGGACAGGAGCCGGGGGCGGACGGGTTGTGACGTGGAAGTGGGCTTTTGGAGGGTGGGTGGAACAGATAGGATTTGGAGACCTGTTACGAGGAAGGCTGAAGCTTCCGTTTGGGGAACAGTAACTCGAAGGGGGCACTACACTGAGCAGGCATAGGCTTTGGAGACAGACACGGAATTCCATTTGGACTTAGTGAGTGTGAAGTGACTTCTGGGTCGAGCTGTCTGGCCGGGAGCTGGAAGTGCGGGAGCGCAGAGAGTGTGTGTGCGAGTTCCTTTGTAAAGACCCAGTTGTGGGGCCTCCTGAAGGCGGCACTCAGGCGCAGTGGGCTCGCCCCAGGCCTAGCGCGACCCTCCTGTCTCGGGGCCTGCGTGCCCTTGAGAGGGGGCCGGCAGCACAAAAGGCAAGCCCCCCCCCCCCAGTCTTCTCCAGGGGAGCCACTGCCAGCAGCTGTAACGTGCTCCTCCAGAAACGCGGCCGAGCAGCCCATCCGGGCGTCCCCAGAAAGGGCCAATCAGAGGCCGGCAGAAGCTCCGACTGCGTTGGGCATGCAGTGACTTCCCGGACATCCTGCTGGGGTTCGGGTCCCCCCCAGGCTGACCTCTCGGTTTCTGCTGTGGTTGCCCAGGTGCTCGGGCTGCCTTTGGTCTGCAAGGCTGGGTTGGCACAGTGACTCCAGTTCTTTTTCCTTTAAGTGTCAGTTTTCTTTAATGAGTACTTTTCCTTGATATAAAAATCTTATAAAAATATACAATGGTAATTAGCGTATATGCATTTTTAAAAGGTAGCTTGTATAAAATGTATATATTTTTTATTTTTTTATTTTTATCCTCACCTGAGGACCTTTTTTTTTTCATTTATCTTCAGATAGAGTGGGACGGGGGGGAGAGAGAGAGAAACATCAATGTGAGAGAGACACATCAACTGGCTGCCACCCACATGATCCCAACCGGGGCCGGGGACAAACTGCAACCAAGGTACGTGCTCTTAGCAGAAACCGAACTTGGGACTGTCTGGTCTGCGGGCCGACGCTCTAACCACTGAGCCAGACTGGCCAGGGCATAAATATATTTAAAAAAATATTTTTAAAGCAACCCCCCCCCTCCCCATTCACTCACCAGATTTAATCACTAAACAGTATGGTATAGAGACCCTGTTCTGTGGGGAGGAGGACACACACACACACACACACACACACTTCATGTGGGGAAATACAAAGAAGGTGACAGACGGCCCATAGTTACTCCAGACAGGTCCCTGTTAGAAAAGCAAACAGCCCTGGCCGGTTTGGCTCAACAGTTGGAGCGTTGGCCTGCGGTCCAGAGAGACCCGGGTTCGGTTCCCGCTAAGGGCATGTACCTTGGTTGCAGTTCGTCCCCGGCCCTGGTTGGGTCGTGTGGGTGTCAGCCACTCGATGTGTCCCTTTCACATTGATGTTTCTCTCTCTCTTTCTTCCTCTCTCTCCCTCCCACTCTATCTGAACAAAAAATGATAAAATGTCCTCGGGTGAGGATAAAAAAAGAAAAGCAAACAAATACACACTGGTAATTTTATTCATTTATTAATTTTTTTGTTAATCCTTACCTGAGGATATTTTTTCCACTGATTTTTTTTTTAAAGACAGGAAAGGAGGAAGGAGAGAGAAACATCAATATGAGAGACACGTGAATTGGTTTCCTTCTGCACAAGCCCCAACCAGGGCTGGGGATTGAACCTGCAACCCAGTTACGTGCCCTTGACTGGGATTTGAACCTGAGACCCTTCGATGCTCGGGATGACACTAATCATTGAGCCACACTGGCCAGGGCCATACTGCTAATTTTATAAAGCTGTACAGCCCTGGCTGGTTTGACTCAGTGGTTAGAGCGTCAGCCCACAGACCAAAGAGTCGTGGGTTCGATTCTGGTCAAGGGCATGTACCTCAGTTGCGGTTTGGTCCCTGGCCCTGGTTGGGGTTGTGCGGGAGGCAACCAATTGATGTCTCTCTCCCTCCCTCCCTCCTTCTCTCTCACTGTATCTGAAGATAAATGGGAAGTTATCCTTGGGTGAGGGTTAAAAAAACCAGCTGTGCTGGTACACAGCGATGGACTGACTCTTCAAGGCCCCCGGCTGTCCTCATGCCTGTCCCTGTGGCGATCCATTAGCAGCCCTCCTTCCAGAGAACGGTCAGCGCAGAAAGAAGCAGTGTGTGTGTGTGTGTGTGTGTGTGTGTGCAATGCAAACGAAAGGGGTCCTGCTAAATACATTGTGCTTTTCCTTTGAAACTGAACAAATCTCAGCTCTTTCTCCCTTGGCCTCTGTAACTCTGCGTGGTTCTCTGTGGTGGGTTACCAGCTGTCATTTACGGGAGGGTCAGCGGGTGTCCTGTGATCTGCAGCTGGATCCACTGATGGACAGAGGCCGTCTCTCAGTCTTTAGTATTTCAAGCAGTAAGGTGGCGAATATCCTTGTTCCCTCATGGAGATAATTCTGGAGGGACAAGAAGGGGCCTTGTTTTGAAACAGCTTTCCTGAACTGTGACAGATGGAACGTTCCCCTCTGCCCCTCGTGCTCCCAGTTGTGCTGGGCTGAGACACCAGATTGTCCCCACTTGGGCTCACCTCCAACTGCCTGGAGGAGTCTCCCTTGTTGTCACATCCAACAGGTTTCCTTCCATGGCACACTCAGTGCCCGCTCAGAGGTAGCTCATCTCATGCAACTCTTTGGAAAGGCCGCCACTCGCCTTGCCTTCTGTCCTGCAGTGTTAATAACCACAGAAAGCTGGCCTGGTCAGTTTCTCCTTTCCTTCCTTCCTTGATCCCCAGCCCTCGGCCACCTCCCCTCTCCATCCTGGGCCTGGGCTCTGGGCCTCGTGTCCGTGTGTGGGTTCCCGGAGCCCATTCCTTGCCCAGCACCATCCGAGGCCTCTGCGGTCCCCCCAGCTGCAGTCATGCAGGAGTGAGCTGCTCGCCGCTTCCAGGCTGGTCTCTGCCCGTCCGTGGTGCAGTTACCGGGGAGCCTTCTTAAAATGCTCCACGTCTGAGGCCTGTCTGTCCTGGTCCCTCTCAGAAACATTCAAATTCCTGTTACTATAGGGCAAATCCCAACTTTTTGGCTTGTCATTCAAAGCCAACTGTTGTCAGGTGCCTCCTGGTCCCTGGGAGCCCAGCTCTTTCACGGAGCCTTGTCTGTATCCATTCCCTTCAGGTCTGTGCTGGTAGCCACTGGCTGAGCTCGTCATGGAGTTCTCCGAGCAGGCATGCAAGACACGTCCTTCTCCTGTGCAGAGAGCGTGCACGGGAGAGAGGGGGCCCACGCAGGACACAGGGACTTGCCTGTGCCACTGCATTGCCCCCCGTCCGTGTCCCCTGGAGCACAGCAGCAGTGCTCCGCACGGGCGCACGACTAATGTGCAGAACTGCTAGCATTCCATCGGGCTTGCGTGGTTCATGGAATTATTCTGGCATTTTTTATTAGGTTCCGAACCTTCCCATCTTAGCTCGGCATGAGTTGTAGCATTAAAATGAAGAGTTAGAGCCCTGACTGGAGTCGCTAAGGGGTTAGCGCATCAGCCCGAGGATAGAAGGGTTATGAGTTCGATTCCTGGTCAAGGGCACATGAACCAATCAGTGTCTCTCTCACACATTGATACTTCTCCCTCCTTCCCTCCCACTCTATCTAGAAATCAATGGGAAAAATATTCTTGGTTGAGGATTAACAGAAAATAAATAAGTAAACTAAAATAAAATTCATGTAGAAATCTAGGCTGTAAAGTCATCAGCTGAGTTATAAGACGTAATTAGATAAGATTACTTAAGATAGTGGTTTTTTATGAGATCGGCCCGGCCCATATTAACTTTTCTGCTTTTCCCCAGCCTGCACGAAGAAATCAGTGATTTTTACGAGTACATGTCTCCGAGGCCAGAAGAGGAGAAGATGCGGATGGAGGTGGTGAACAGGATCGAGGGCGTCATCAAGGAGCTCTGGCCCAGCGCCGACGTGAGTGCCGCTCCGGCCGCGGGGGGATGCTGTGCCTGTGTCTCGTCCAAGCCTCACAGGCAGCTGTCTTGTGCGTCTGCAGCCATGGTCTGATGACATTTTGAAGGCCAACACTTTTCTCCAGCCTTTAGAATTGGGCTTCTGAATCACTAGCACTGAATCGGCTACTTGCTCAGAACCTTGCCCTGCAGTGCGGGCGGGGCAGACAGGAGGCCCTGGTCAGAGAGGGGCACGCCGGCTGTGGTCATGCTGTCCGAGGTGCTGTGTCTGGTCGTGCTGTCCGAGGTGCTGTGTCACTGCCATCAGTCCAACCTGCCAGGGCAAACTTCGTGTCGTTGTGCATAGCGGAATGCAGACCTCGGGCAGGAATGGCTCATGTTATCTGAAGTTCATTTGCTTAGGCTGATGCAGGCCTCTGCTCAGCCCCCTCCCCAAGGGCTGGTCTCTTGTGTTTCTGACCACCCCTGTCTCCCAGCCCCCCCCCAGGGAACACAACTTGTGCCCAGGATTGCCTCTGTTTATTTGTGGTTCTTGTTACTACACTGAGTCAGCCCAGACTGCACTTTCTAGGGCTCCCTCGAGGGTCTGTTGTACAGTTCTGTGCACTCGGTATACTTGTTAGAATCCGTGACTGTGTATTATATAGCTTCCTTTAGACGTCGTGGTGGCCAAAGGGGAGCCAGGGTTTTTTTGTCCAGTTGGTGAAACAAAAATGCCTCAAATGAGACACTGTAGGAGAGGGGAGACGGGAGCCCCGGCCCTTCGCTGAGCAGGGCTGCAGCCCCTTGCCCGCTGTCGGTCTGCAGTGCTCTCAGCGGGCGGGGGGGGGGTGCCCCCGGAGGCACTCGGCGCTGCGGGTGGGAGCAGTTTTCTTCTTTTTTTTAATCCTCACCCAAGGACGTTTTGTTTTTTTTTCATTTTTTATTCAGATAGAGCGGGAGGGAGAGAAAGGAAGAGAGAGAGAGAGAGAGAAACATTGACGCGAAAGAGACACATCGAGTGGCTGCCACCCGCACAACCAACCAGGGCCGGGGACAAACTGCAACAGAGGTACATGCCCTTAGTGGGAACCGAACCCGGGTCTCTCCGGACCGCAGGCTGACGCTCTAACCGCTGAGCCAAACCGGCCAGGGCTGGGAGCAGTTTTCATGGTCACGACAGGTGAGGTGCTTCTGGCAGGCGGTGGGTGCAGGCCAAGGGCGTCTCTGAACGCCCACAGCGCAGGGTAGCCCCCCCACTGAGAATGATCTGCCCTGGTGTCAGTAGTGCTGAGGTCAAGACGCACTGATCTCAGCTCCCCCTCCTCCTCCCGAGGTGCAGCTTCATCCACGTTTGCTTTTCAGACGCGGAGCCCAGGCTGTGAGTAGGTGCTCAGGTCTGTCTCTCCTGTAAGGTTGTGCTTTTTCTTCCCTCATCCTTTTTTTAAAAAAGTTATTTTTCTTTATTGATTTTAGAGAGAGAGGAAGGAAGAAAGAGAAAGAAACATTGATGAGAGAGAACATCTATTGGCTGCCTCCTGCACGCCTCCCACTGGGGATCAGGCCCACAGCCTGGGGATGCGCCCTGACTGGGAATCAAACCGGTGACCTCTTGGTGCATGGATTGATGCTCAACCCCTTAGCCACATTGGCCGGGCTTTATTAATTTTTTTTTAGAGAGAAAGAGAGAAACATCGATGTGAGAAACTGATCAGCTGCCTTCTGCACACCCTCTACTGGGGATCAAGCCGGCAACCTGGGCATGTGCCCTGACTGGGACTCTAACCAGGACTTCTCAGTCCATGGGTCTACTCTCAATGCGCTGAGCCACACCCAGCCAGGCTTAACTGTATTTTGAATATCTGCCTATGGGATCCCTGAAGTGTGGGGTTGGTAAACTGCTCTTGCAGTACTCAAAAATGCCAGTAGAGGGTAGCAGAAACCGGCATTTCTCATGGCATGGTAGCTCTGGGCTAATAACATTTAATATGATAATTGTTTCTATTTCAGGTCCAGATATTTGGGAGTTTCAAAACTGGCCTGTATTTACCTACTAGGTTAGTATATTTATGCCACTTTCAAGGGGTTGTGCATCTTTTAAGGCTGTTGAATGTGTAAGTGTAGAAACAAAACAGATTTATGAAACAGAAATCCACGAACCTGTGTTTTATTTGAATTCTATTGAGGTAGCATATCGCTTCAGACAGCTTATCAGACCGGGGTGCAGATACCGTCTGCATCACCGCGGATGGCTGGGCAGGGCGTGTAGCAGTAGAGTCCGTTTCCGCGGGTAGCGATGGACCACCCTGCAGAAACTGTCCAGCGCCATCCTGTAACCCGCTCACACGTGCCGGGTCCAATGCCAGGCCTCTCACGTTCCAATTGAGAACTCGCACTGCTGCCGCTGTCCAGTATCCTGACCCAGAAATTCCGTGCCGAGTCTGCTGAGGAAGGACTCCACCTTCTCAGACCCACTTACCTCGTCTCTTGAATGAGGGCTGTCTGGGCCCTCAGCTGGGGGCCCTTTCTGGGGCTGGTCAGGCTGCCCTGAGGAGTGGATACCTGTTCTCTAAGAATTGAGCTGCTTTGGTCTTTAGGAAGGAAGAACCTTCCATCATGGTTTAGTGTTTGTTTTTACTGTGGTAAGAACAGTAACATGAGACTGATCCTCTTAACAAACTGTGACATGTACAGCATAGTATGGTGACAAGTATATATCTTGTTGTGGAATTGAATTTGATTCTTGACCCAAAAATACTCGTATGGAAGTGGATGGACCCTGAACATTTCCCTTCTCCCCCTGCAGGCCCAGGCCTAGAGAAGCCATAAAACATTCAACTTCGAGTTCATTAATATTTTTCCTTATTTAGGTTCTGGGCTTCAGCAAAACCCTGAGTCATTCTTTCTAAAAAAATGTAATTACATTTTATGAATAGTTGGTACAGTCACATAATTCAGATTTGAAAAGGGCACAGAAATAATCCCAGTGAAAAGTCTGGTCTGACCTCTATCCCCAGCTCCTTCCCGCAGAGGGGCCTCTGGGCGGTCTGCACATCCTTCCCGCAGAGGGGCCTCTGGGCGGTGTGCACGTCCTTCCCGCAGAGGGGCCTCTGGGCGGTGTGCACGTCCTTCCCGCAGAGGGGCCACTGGGCGGTGTGCACATCCTTCCCGCAGAGGGGCCACTGGGCGGTGTGCACATCCTTCCCGCAGAGGGGCCACTGGGCGGTGTGCACGTCCTTCCCGCAGAGGGGCCACTGGGCGGTGTGCACATCCTTCCCGCAGAGGGGCCACTGGGCGGTGTGCACATCCTTCCCGCAGAGGGGCCACTGGGCGGTGTGCACATCCTTCCCGCAGAGGGGCCTCTGGGCGGTGTGCACATCCTTCCCGCAGAGGGGCCACTGGGCGGTGTGCACATCCTTCCCGCAGAGGGGCCTCTGGGCGGTGTGCACGTCCTTCCCGCAGAGGGGCCTCTGGGCGGTGTGCACGTCCTTCCCGCAGAGGGGCCACTGGGCGGTGTGCACGTCCTTCCCGCAGAGGGGCCTCTGGGCGGTGTGCACGTCCTTCCCGCAGAGGGGCCTCTGGGCGGTCTGCACGTCCTTCCCGCAGAGGGGCCTCTGGGCGGTGTGCACGTCCTTCCCGCAGAGGGGCCACTGGGCGGTGTGCACGTCCTTCCCGCAGAGGGGCCTCTGGGCGGTGTGCACGTCCTTCCCGCAGAGGGGCCACTGGGCGGTGTGCACGTCCTTCCCGCAGAGGGGCCTCTGGGCGGTGTGCACGTCCTTCCCGCAGAGGGGCCTCTGGGCAGTGTGCACGTCCTTCCCGCAGAGGGGCCACTGGGCGGTGTGCACGTCCTTCCCGCAGAGGGGCCTCTGGGCAGTGTGCACGTCCTTCCCGCAGAGGGGCCACTGGGCGGTGTGCACGTCCTTCCCGCAGAGGGGCCACTGGGCGGTGTGCACGTCCTTCCCGCAGAGGGGCCTGTGGGCGGTCTGCACATCTTTCCCGCAGAGGGGCCTCTGGGCGGTCTGCACGTCCTTCCCGCAGAGGGGCCTCTGGGCGGTGTGCACGTCCTTCCCGCAGAGGGGCCTCTGGGCGGTCTGCACGTCCTTCCCGCAGAGGGGCCACTGGGCGGTGTGCACGTCCTTCCCGCAGAGGGGCCTCTGGGCGGTCTGCACGTCCTTCCCGCAGAGGGGCCTCTGGGGCGGTGTGCACGTCCTTCCCGCAGAGGGGCCTCTGGGCGGTGCTGCACGTCCTTCCCGCAGAGGGGCCATCTGGGCGGTGTGCACGTCCTTCCGCAGAGGGGCCTCTGGGCGGTCTGCACGTCCTTCCCGCAGAGGGGCCTTTGGGCGGTAGTGCAACGTCCTTCCCGCAGAGGGGCCTCTGGGCGGTTGTGCACGTCCTTCCCGCAGAGGGGCCTATGGGCGGTGCTGCACGTCCTTCCCGCAGAGGGGCACTGGGCGGTGTGCACGTCCTTCCCGCAGAGGGGCCTCTGGGCGGTGTGCACGTCCTCCCGCAGAGGGGCCTCTGGGCGGTGTGCACGTCCTTCCCGCAGAGGGGCCTCTGGGCGGTGTGCACGTCTTCCCGCAGAGGGGCCACTGGGCGGTGTGCACGTCCTTCCCGCAGAGGGGCCTCTGGGCGGTGTGCACGTCCTTCCGCAGAGGGGCCCTCGGGCGGTGTGCACGTCCTTCCCGCAGAGGGGCCACTGGGCGGTGTGCACGTCCTTCCCGCAGAGGGGCCTCTGGGCGGTGTGCACATCCTTCCCGCAGAGGGGCCTCTGGGCGGTCTGCACATCCTTCCCGCAGAGGGGCCACTGGGCGGTGTGCACGTCCTTCCCGCAGAGGGGCCTCTGGGCGGTCTGCACATCCTTCCCGCAGAGGGGCCACTGGGCGGTGTGCACGTCCTTCCCGCAGAGGGGCCTCATGGGCGGTCTGCACGTCCTTCCCGCAGAGGGCCTCTGGGCAGTGGTGCACGTCCTTCCCGCAGAGGGGCTCTGGGCGGGTCTGCACATCCTTCCCGCAGAGGGCCACTGGGCGGTTGTGCACGTCCTTCCCGCAGAGGGGCCTCTGGGCAGTGTGCACATCCTTCCCGCAGAGGGGCCTCTGGGCGGTGTGCACGTCCTTCCCGCAGAGGGGCCTCTGGGCGGTGTGCACGTCCTTCCCGCAGAGGGGCCTCTGGGCGGTCTGCACGTCCTTCCCGCAGAGGGGCCACTGGGCGGTCTGCACGTCCTTCCCGCAGAGGGGCCACTGGGCGGTGTGCACGTCCTTCCCGCAGAGGGGCCACTGGGCGGTGTGCACGTCCTTCCCGCAGAGGGGCCACTGGGCGGTGTGCACGTCCTTCCCGCAGAGGGGCCTCTGGGCGGTGTGCACGTCCTTCCCGCAGAGGGGCCACTGGGCGGTGTGCACGTCCTTCCCGCAGAGGGGCCACTGGGCGGTGTGCACGTCCTTCCCGCAGAGGGGCCTCTGGGCAGTGTGCACGTCCTTCCCGCAGAGGGGCCTCTGGGCAGTGTGCATGTCCTTCCCGCAGAGGGGCCTCTGGGCAGTGTGCACTTTCTCCCAGATGCTCCCTGTGTGTGAGAGGAGGTGTGTGTGCAGGTGTGTTTTTTTCATGTTTGCACAAGTGGTGGCATCTTGCTTTTTACACTTACTGATCTGAGTGACGGCTCATCACAGCCACAGTGTCTGAAGCTTTAATCCCTTTATGAACCAGAAGTGTTAACTCATACTTTCTGAGGTTCTGCTTCACCATCGCCCTGCCTCCTGAGGCCTGACTTTGTGAAGTGACTAAGAGGAGGCTGTTGTTAAAATCACCAACCTCCCCTTCATCTCTGAAACAGCCACCACCCCAACACAGTCTCCGCGGGGCGGGTGAGAGATGGGTTTCCATGGCACTAATCTGCAATCTTGAGTCTCAAGGGAAAACAATTACACTTTCTTGCTTCTTCAAACCCCCTTCGGTGTGTGCTCTGTGTCTAGTGACATCGACCTTGTGGTGTTTGGGAAGTGGGAGAACCTCCCCCTCTGGACCCTGGAAGAAGCTCTCCGGAAACATAAAGTTGCAGACGAGGATTCAGTGAAGGTTCTAGACAAAGCAACTGTGAGTTCTCCCTCTTTCCTCCTCAGTCTCGGGCCTCACACCCCAGGCCTTACGCTCGGAGTGTAGCTGTGGAGAGCCGCCTCCTTGGTCACTGGTCGCAGCTTTGTGGCACAGGTGGACGCGTGCTGGTCATACATTTCTCCTAAAAAATACTCAATTTTATCATACATGATACTGCAGAGATATTTTACTATGGAACAGTATCGATGGAAACCTAGATGTCTGTCAGACAGCTATGGGGACATGGGTGCTCTTAGTTTGTCCTTGACAAATTAGTATGTGATGGAACCTTGTAAATCAAGCCATATCTTAACTACATCTGGACTGGCCATTGAAGAACTTTCACGGAAACTAAAATATGTGTATTTTAGAAGTTTAGGTTTTTGCACCTTATGTTTTCTTGAAGCAAAACAACGTGTGTTGTTTCTTATAAAAGCCTGTTGGTGTGGAAATTGGCTCTGCAGTCTGCTGGCTCGACTTCCCCCTGCACGGTGCATACTGAGCTGTTCTTGTTCTGTGAAGAACCCCAGCATCTGCTGAAACCATTCTGTCCTTTCCCACTTGGGAATCGTCCTTGCATTTTTATCTCTCATGCTGGGTTGTGTTTGGGGCTCTTTGCAAAGTGACCCATGACTCAACATCTCATAGTTTTCTCACCAGAAACAGTTGGGTGATGTGCTTGACCTTCTCATTCTTTTTTTTTTTAATCCTCACCCGAGGATATTTTTGCATTTATCTTCAGACAGAGTGGGAAGGGGTGGGGGGGAGAAACATCGACGTGAGAGAGACACATCGAGTGGCTGCCACCCGCACAACCCCAGCTGAGGCCGGGGACAAACTGCAACCGAGGTCTATGCCCTTAGTGGGAACCGAACCCGGGACTCTCTTGTCCACGGGCCGACGCTCTAACCACTGAGCAAAAACCAGCCAGGGCGACCTTCTCATTCTTGATGTTACGTCGAGCAGGAAACTTTCCCAGAGTACGTAACATCAACAAAGTTTCTGTCACTTGATCTCAAAATTCTCACCCAATGGAAATGACAGATACGTTGTGTGGGGTAAAATGCTGACTGTGCAGAGAGAACTCTCTGGAAGGCGGTTGGGGGTGGTGCCCGGTGTTCAGGACACTTGGTGTCTTCCTGTTGCATGGTGGGCAGGACCTCACGTCTGGTCACCTTCCACCCTGACTTTGTCATGTCGTTTGGTTAAATAATTTGAATGTCACCTTTCTACTCTTCCAGGTGCCTATCATTAAGTTAACAGATTCTTTCACGGAAGTGAAGGTCGACATCAGCTTTAACGTGCAGAATGGCGTGAGGGCCGCGGACCTCATCAAAGATTTCACCAAGGTCAGCGCTCACAGTGCTCGTTCAGTGACACCGTTAGGTGCGGGGCATGGCCTCGCGGTGCTGTCGGGGGCATCCTGGTAGACCCTCTCAGCTGTGTGTGCATGCGGGCGCTGTACTTTGCCCCAAATCTGTGTGTGTAGTGAGTAATGTACACTGTGACCTCAGGTGAGCGGTCAGGAGGAAGCTTCGGAGAACTCTGCTCTGAGGGAGCTGAGGGCTGGAGCTGGGCTGTGAGGGGCCGCATCTGCTTTCGGTCTCGGGTTCGGCCGGAGCCTCCCCGCGGCTTCTCTAGGTTTAGTCCCCAAATCACCTGCAGGCGGTTCCTCGGGCTCCTTCTCGTCTCCCAGGGATTCACGTCCATTTCTGCTTGTTCCGCTGTCTTCCGGGATATGGAAGAATTTGTCAGCATCTTCAGGGCATCTCACGTGCTCAGACTCATCAGCCCTGTTCTCCCTGAGCCAAAGATGTCCAAACTGCTTTGGTTTATGTAGAACATCTTTTCTGGCCATTTATTATTTCTTTAGCAACTCTATGGGTCCACCTTCTTCTATTTTATAAGAAAAGATGTTAACTTCTTTATTCTTGTATAAATGTGCAGAGTACAGAAAAGCAGAAAGAGAAAGGAATCCTGTCCACAATCCCACTCTTGGAGGTGCTGGGTGTGCACATGTTCTTCTCCCTGCACATGTTTATTAACTGAGAATAATGGGCATAAAAAGGCGCCAATATGGAAAGGTGGGCGAGAGGAGAGCACCTTATACCTCACAGGCAGACTGGCTTTACATCGTCAACCTTTCTTATTCTCCTCTTGAAATTTTAGCAAAAAGAATAGCACCCTGTACGTACATTATCTTATACTCTTTCTTTAACTTAATATTTTGGAGGTTTTTTTCATATCAGCACAAACGGGTTTCCTCCATTAATTAATTATGTATTTATGTATTTATTTTTATCCTCACCCGAGGACATTTTTTTTTCATTTATCTTTATGTAGAGTGGGAGGGAGAGAGAAAGAGAAACATCGATGTGAGAGAGACACATGGAGTGGTTGCCACCCACACGACCCCCATCGGGGCGGGGACGAACTGCAACCGAGGTACGTGCCCTCAGCGGGAACCGAACCCGGGTCTCTCTGGTTCCTGGGCCAACGCTCTAACCGCTGAGTCAAACCGGCCAGGGCTATTTATTTATTTATTTTTAAAAATACTTTTCTTTCTTTTTTTAAGTATGCTTTTCTAATTGATTTTTTAGAGAGAGATAGAAACATTGATGAAAGAGAAACATCAGTCGGCTACCTTCTACACGCCCCCGCTGGGTGCCCCGACCGGGAATCGAACTGGGACCTCTCGGTCCGTGGGACGATGCTCGGTCCACTGAGCCACACCAGCCGGCAGGGTTTCCTCCATTTAGAGACTATCTGTTTCTGACTTCGACCATAATGTTTGAAAATTATCACTTCTCCATTTATCATGCTTGTTTGCTTTGACGTGATTTACAAAAGTGCACACTTCTTTTTTTCTTGCGGAAGCGTATATGTTCACAGCAGTGGCAGGAAGAACCTGGAACTCCCTAGTAATTCCACACCCCCCTGGTAATGGCTGTGAGCTTCTTTCTAGAGGTTGGTGCCTGCACTGCCCCGTGTCCCCAGCCTGGCTCACGAGAAGCCTGTGTGAGAGACGGGCTCACACTCCTGGGGGCCAGCGCAGGTCTCTCACACCCTCTTTGAAGCAGGGAAGGTTCTGGTCACCGGCCCACGTGGAAGCCGGCAGGCGGGGCTGCTCCTGGGCTGCGCAGAGTTGCCTGAAGGACCCTAGTCACCTGGCTGGGTGCTGCCTATGGAAAATTGTTCTTTAAATCCCACCGACTGCCCTGGCCAGTTTGGCTCAGTGGTTAGAGGTTAGAGCATCAGCCCTTAGACCAAAGAGTCTCAGGTTCAATTCCGGTCAAGGGCAGGTGCCTCAGTTGCGGTTGAGGTTCAGTCCGTGGCCCTGGTTGGGGTCGTGAGGGACCCCATTGATGTGTCTCTCTCACATTGATGTTTCTCTCTCTCTCTCTCCGCCCCCCACGCTATCTGAAAAATCAATGGAAAAATATCCTCGGGTGAGGATTAAAAAACTAAAATAAAATAAAATCCCACCGATTTAATGCTTTATGTATTGAGACCTTGTCCTGTACTGTTTCTGCTACCTGCTTACACATGGCTCTCTTACGGTGATGGCCATAAATGAGCATCATCAAATGTACGTTGCTGGTGTTTCCGTCCTGCAGTGAGCCCTGGGTGCCGCGTCTACATCCCATGTCCCGAATCTCCGTGGCTTACATGCTACAGCTCTTAAACTGGGAGCGTCTCCGCCAGAGTTTGTGATGCAGGACCGGGTTACGCTCTGAGACCAGCGCTTAGAGCTAGTCCTGACATAGGAGTTCGTTGACAACGACTTTTTTTTTTTTTTTCCAGAAATATCCTGTGTTACCATACTTGGTTTTAGTATTGAAACAGTTCTTATTACAAAGGGACCTTAATGAAGTATTTACAGGTGGAATTGGCTCTTACAGTCTCTTTTTAATGGCGGTCAGCTTTCTCCAGGTGAGTGTGTGGCCTAACACGCGAGGGTGCGCTGACCTTCAAAACAGTAACCGGGGGGAGTCGTTTTGGAAACTTTTTTAAATGTGTTTTATTGATTTTTTTTAGAGAGAGGAGGAGAAACATCGATGTGAGAGAGAAACATCAATGGGCTGCCTCCTGCACGCCCCCTGCTGGGGACCGAGCCTGCCACCCAGGCCTGTGCCCTGACCGGGAATGGAACCAGGACCTCTCAGGCCACTGAGTCACAGCAGCGGGACCGTTTCGGAAAATTTTAAATCAAACTTTTAATTGCCGTGCTTCCCTTGATTACTTATGACTTTCCCCTTTAAACTGGGTACCTTTCTGTAATTTACCAACTAAGAATTTAAAAATCCCTAGGGGAAAAAATAGATATATTTAATCCCATAGGTTCTGTTGTTTTTGAGACTTCACTGCAAATTTAACATGCAGAGGCTCTGCTGGTGACTCAGAGTGGCGTCCTGATGTGTTGTGCCAGCCCTGCGCGTCCTGGGCAGCGTCAGTCCCGCCTCCCGCCCTGAGTCCTCCCTGCTCTGCCCTGAGCAGAGCCAGTGCCTCCGGGCCGCGCCGCTGGACCAGAAGGGCAGTAGCTGTTTGTAGCAGGCAGGGGTCATCTGTCAGCCCACCTCGACAAGGCAGAGGATGTCCAATGTAACTTCTTTGTTTCTTTTTCTGCTTTTAGTTGCATCCCAGGGAAGATGCTTGCATTCCCAATACAAACTATGGTGTTCTCTTAATAGAATTTTTTGAATTATATGGACGGCACTTCAATTATTTAAAGACTGGCATCCGGATAAAGGATGGTGGTTCATATGTGGCCAAAGATGAAGTACAGAAAAATATGCTGGATGGCTACAGGCCATCGATGCTTTACATCGAAGACCCTTTACAACCAGGTATTGAAATTAGGTAAATTTGTGGGCATTCAGAGGAAGGGTGTTGTAGTCACCATGTTGTACTTGGAACTCTGTTTAGATAAAAAAAATTAAGGATCAACTTCTAATTGTGGGCATTCTTTTTCATCAAAATATGTCTTAAGCAAATATATGAAAGTAAGCACACACACACACACACACACACACTCACACTCACACCAGAAAAACACGTCGCAGACTCCAGATGAGTTAGGCATGGGATCCATTAGACTCTCATGGCAAAGGAGAGTGGGTGAGCTGTGGGTTTGTGCGCACCTCCAGTTTGACAGCCATTTTTCTTCCTTCTTTTTTTTAATCCTCACCCTTTTCTCCATTGATTTTTAGAGAGAACGGAAAGGAGGGAGGGAGGGAGGGGGAAGAGAGACATAAACACACACACACACACACACACACACACACACACACATTGATTAGTTGCCTCTGGTACACACCCCAACCAGGACCAGGAATTGAACCTGCAACCCAGGTAAATGCTATTGACTGGGAATCAAACCTGCGACCCTTTGATCCGCAGGCTGACACTCTTAACTGCTGAGCCACACTGGCCTGGCCAGGGCCATTTATCTTCTTTCGTCGTCATTACCCGATTCCAACCTGTTGCCAGTCAGGACTTATTTTGTTTTGTTTTTTCATTGCATTTACTGGGGTGACACTGGTTAATAAAATTATGTAGGTTTCAGGTATACAATTCTATAACTTCATCTATATTCTGTATTGTGTTTGTCACCCCAAGTCAGGCCTCCTTCATCACCATTTGTCCCCTCTTCTCCCTCCGGCACCCCCTTTCCCTGTGGCGACCATGTGTTTCTGTGTGTGAGCTGTCTTCAGCCAGGGCTTTGCGGTGAGGGTTCTGGGGTCCTCCGGCAGTGACGCAGTAATCCAGCTCGGAGTCACGAGTGAAGGGGCTCGAAGGGACAACTGCTTTTGCTTTAGCTTCCTCTCCCTCTCATTCTGTGTGGTCCCCCGTGCTGTCCCAGCTCCGTGTTGGCTTGAAAGGGAACAGAAAGTGGATTCCTCCCCTGTGCTCACGAGGTTATGTTTGCTTGCTTGTCTCCTAGGTTTTCTGGGCAGTAATTTTTCCTGATATCATTGCAAAGCATTTCAACTCTGCATTATTAGACTTCAGTGAAAATGCTTTTAGTTATATGCTTTAATGTGTTGACTTTGAAAAGAAGTAAGGGAAGGGAGTCAAAGGTACAGGAGTCGCTTCAGAGCCTTTTCTGGCTATTGAGCCGTGTTATGGATATTAATAGTCCTGTTGTTTATTCATTGAGATGTTTTTTGGGAGCTTACCCTATGTATAGGACACAAAGATGTTTTCAGCTACGTGGTCCTTGCTTTTTTTTTTTTTTATCCTTACCCAGGACATTTTTTCATTTTTTGTTCAGATAGAGTGGGAGGGAGAGAGAGGAAGAGAGAGAGACAGAGAGAGAGACACATCGACGTGAAAAGGACACACCGAGTAGCTGCCACCCGCACGACCCAACCAGGGCCGGGGACAAACTGCAACCGAGATATGTACCTTTAGCGGGAACTGAACCCAGGCCTCTCTAGTCCACAGGCAAATGCTCTAACCGGTGAGCCAAACCGGCCACGGCTGGGCCTTGCTTTTCAGGAGCTCATGTTTTAGTGTGGGAGATATTCACACAGCTGATGGAAACAGAACATTAGCTTGGTTTTACTCTAAGGAGAGAGCAGGCAGGTGCTTCTGTTTGCAGGGCTGTCTGGGCAGTCCCTGGCACGCCAGAGGTGCACCGCGTCACAGCTACTTACTTCGTGACGTGCGCCGAGAGCCTGGAGGTCGAGGGGTCCGGCGCAGGTTCTGAGCGCAGCCTCAGTGGCCCGTGGTCGGCACGCTTCCCAGGGCGAGGGCTTGTGAAGGCCGAGTTCTCTGAGGCAGCAGCCAAGCTTAGTGTCTGATGTGCACATTTCTTTCCCAGGTAACGATGTTGGAAGGAGCTCGTACGGGGCCATGCAAGTGAAGCAGGCCTTTGATTACGCCTACGTGGTCCTGAGTCACGCTGTGTCGCCCATAGCCAAGTACTATCCCAACAATGAGACGGAGAGGTAAACATTTCACTCAGATCAGCCCCGTGCGTCCAGGTTGGTTGTGGCTTCTTAACTTGGAATTAACGCGCCTCCTCTTCTCTCTAAATGCATGCAGCATACTAGGCAGGATAGTCAGAGTGACGGCCGAGGTCGCCGCGTACCGGGACTGGATATCGAAGCAGTGGGGCTTGCCGGGCAGGCCCGCGCCCGCATGCGCCGGTGAGTGTCCCGCCCGCGGTCGCCGCCGGAGGCTTTCTGATGGTGTGTGTTTAACGGGAAGAAACGTTTTCCAATCTTTTGCCACTCTTTCAGGAAATGGTGTTACCTTGATAGTAGATTCTCAGCAGTTAGATAAATGTAATAATAATCTATCTGAAGAAAATGAAGCCCTTGGAAACTGTAGAAGTAAAACTTCGGAATCTCTTAGTAAACACTCTTCAAACTCTTCATCAGGTCCGGTGTCTTCGTCTTCCGCCACACAGTCCAGCTCTAGCGACGTCGTAAGTATGGAGACATGGCTCTCCGGAACCAGCCGCTCTGGAGGCCTGTTGTTGGGGTAGCTATCAGAGGGCGGAGACGACCCGTTTCCGATTTGTGACTAGGGGATCTTAGCAGCATTAGCGATCGTGTTGTTTCTCAGTGTCGTAGTAAAATTTCCAAGCATACGGCACAAGGGAACAAACGCGAGTGAACACCCGTCCGCACCCCTCTGGGCTCTGCCCCTCATGTTGCACTTGCCCATCACGTGCATGCCAGCCCCCATGCGCTGTCCTTCTCTGACCCATTTCCAAGTAGGTCTCAGAGGTCAGGGTGCCTCCCCGGGCAGCTTAGTGTGCTCATCACCAACCAGAGCCCATAAACTTGGTATAAAATTGACACATAAAGAAATGTTAATTGTACATTTACAAAATTTTTACAGATGCATACACACGAGAACCCAAATCCTAACAAGGGAGAGACTGTTGGCATCACCCTGGAGAGTTCCCTGGTGACGCTGACTGGGCAGTGCCCAGGCCCACCCCCAGAGGTCACATGTTGGGGTGTTCTAATACTACAGATCAGTGTTCTCTCAGGACTTTACCTCAGCGGGACATTGTGTATATACTCTGGTGTAAGCTGCTTCCACTCAGCAAGGTTTCTGAGCTTCTTGATTTTAATTCTTACCAATTGAGATATAATTCACATAGTCTTTACCCTTTAAAGATGTATAATTCATTGGTTTTTAGTATATTCACAGCGTTGCACAGCCTTCACCTGTCTCATTTCCAGGCGTTGGCATCACCTCCAGAACAACACTATTAGCAGCCCCTCACGATTGCTCCCTGCCCCTCCCCGGGCACCCTCGTCTACTTCTGTCTCCATCCCGATCGAATTTCTAGTATCAGTTACACCTGTAGTTACTTTCCCTTACCAGGGTTAATTGTGAGTGTACTTAATTGAGATCTTAAATGGGCTTACCCATTATTTGAATTTTGATTTTATGAGGCGTGTGACCTAAAAAGTAATCTAAATGTGGAAAAGACATAATTTTATTGTTGACGATGACTATGTGTTGTAATGGAGTCACGAGTCCTCATGTGCAGAATCGACCTGTGAGCCTTTCTGGTTCCTGGCGCAGAGCGGTGGAGGACACACTGAGCTAGCTGTCCCAGGGTACAGCGGGGTGGAAGCAGAGGCCTGTGGGGGTTAGGGCCTGAGTGTGTGACCCGCAGACCCTGGTGGAATGCGGGAGGAGGGTAGACCTGAGGGCAGAAGTAGCAAGGTCACGGCCCACTCCGCCCACAGACAGGCGGGGCTCGCCCTGGTCTGGGACGTCCGAGTCCACGGGTGCAGAGGGCTTCCTGATTCAGCATCACAGATCTCAGAGATGGGGCCTCGTGCCCCAACCGTTCTGTGTCTGGTTGGAGACCCTGATCCAGGGAGGGGGCTGGTCCTCACTCTCGCCCTTCTCTTTCCGCTGTACCATGGCTCGTTCTCTGTAAATAAAGACACGTGAGCATGGACCTCTGTGGGCTCCTCCGAGGCTGATGAACGGGCAGGCAAGGGCAGCAGACTTAACAAGGGCTACAGACCCTCGAATAAAAGAGGCCACTTTAATGTTTAGGGGAAAACTCAGGCAGTTCGTTTTGTAAATTCCTCAGTGTGCTTCCTTAAGCTCCCAAATGTTTAAATTTGGTCCAGGGGGTACTTAGTTGATATTGTTTTTCTTTTTTAATATTGAATATCTAAATTATTAATATATCACCTTGTACCTCATGTGACTCGTGTTAGGATTCTGATGCGACACCATGCAAAACCCCAAAACAGCTGCTCTGCCGTCCGTCCCCCGGGAACCGAGTAGGGTCACAGGACGTGTCCGTGGAGGCCTCGCAGGCAGGTGGGAAAGTGCAGAGCGCCCCGGCCACCACCACCATGTCCAGCAGCGCCAGCAAATCGCAGGTGTGTGGACTCGCGTTTTCATCGTGAGCATTCGTACCAAATGTCCAGTGTCGTGCGTGCCGATTGTACGTGTGCATCATGGGTTTGGAGAAAACTCCAGGTTTCACAACCACCCTGTTTTGTCCTAAGAGGCTCCAAAGCACAACAGTGCTTTCGTGACAGGGTGTCCTTGGTCCTCATGGGGCAGCACTGTGACACGGCCTTGTGGGAGTCCATCGCTGTCCTCATCCAGTGTCCCAGCCCGCCGCCCCTCCTCCACATTCAGCACAGAGTCGCATCCGGTTATCGAAAGGTTACTGGAGCGTGAAGCACGCGCAGGTGCAGCTGTCTGTGCGGCTCTCGCACATGTGCTCTGGAAATGGGGCGCACGCCTCTGTCCGAGCGCTTGCCGCCGGACCCGGTGCTGAGATGGTTGGGCCGCAGCGTCCCGTTCGGTGCTGAGCGTCAGCCTCGACGTAAAAGGCCGCAGAGCTTCTCTCCTTTGAGTTTCTGTGTTGCCTGGAATGTTGTTGTCCTGGGTAATGAATCACACGGGAGGGAGAAGCTACTTGCCACAGGCTCCGGCCTGCACCCACCCAGCACCGCGGCCCGGGGGCGCCGGCAGCAGCGAGAGCTGTACCGTCCCCAAGGCCTCTGCTCACGGCCGGAGCCACTTCACCTTCACGGCCTGAGACTGTGCCCCAGCAGACTCGCCCGGAAGTGGTGGTTGGCGTGCAGGTGACAGCAGGCGGTGGGCCCGGCATGGCGGTGCACCGGTGCCTCGAGCCGCGGGGCCGTTCCCAGGGGCGTTGGCTCAGGGGCTCCACCTGCCCTGAGGAAGGCACGCTGTGGCCTGCGTCTCAGGGTCCCCAGGGAAAGCAGGGTCCGTGTCAGAGCGCATGAGCGTTGACCCAGAAGTGCCGTGTCTGCCCACCAGGTCAGGCAGCACCCCCTGGTTTCGAAAGCTCCGGGGGCCGGGTGTCGGGGTGCTGGGGCGCAGCGAGGTACTGACGTCTTGTGCCCGCCTCCTTTTCCGCAGCACGGACCAGCCCGGCTCTTCCGCTCTTCCAGCAAAGGCTTCCAAGGTACAGCCCCAACCAGCCATGGTGCCCTGATGGCAAACAAACAGCATCAAGGCAAATCAAATAATCAGTATTTCCATGGCAAAAGGAGGAGACACAAGAGGGACACCCCCCTCTCAGACCTCTGTAGATAGTCGGCGTGGTTCGGCGGACTGTCTCCGGTGCAGTGACCTCACGCCCAGGACAGTGCCTGGGGACTCCTGGGCACGTTCAGGAGCCCTGTGCTGTCCACATGTCGATTTAGCAACTGTGTTTCCCAGCTCGCCACGGAACGGATCATGAAGACTGACAGCTGCGAAACAAAAGCACGCAGACGGGAAAGGCTGCTCATCCGATGAGCGTGTGCTACAACAGGGTCGTTTTAAGAGTTAAAGCTTGAATGTAAAATAAATATATTTCTCATTGGCTTTATGCAGAGTTAGAGGGAGTAGTAGTCAGTGTGGGTGGGATGATAGGAAGAAAATGGAATTTCGGAGGATGGGGTGGGAGGAAAACCGGTATCTCATAGAAGCCCAGAGTCCAAAGGGGAAAGTGATCTGTGCATGTGTTTTTTTAAATATTTTTGCATATATTTACCATTTTATTGTGTGTATATATAGATGACCATATAGGAAATTGATATTTGTAATAGTGGATTTGTTAATACTTTTTACATAACATTACTGTTTAAATTGTAAACAGATTTTTCTCAGGATTAGTTTGCAAAATAATCTGAATTGTCATCTTAACATCCACATGTAGGGACGTGATTAGTTCTCTTACTCGATTTGTCCTTGGCGTTGAAATGACCTAATAGGACCCTCTCGACCTGCTGCTGCAAAAATGTTCCCTCCCTCAAGAAAAGAGTCATGGTGGCAAATGACATTTATTTTATTTTGTACAAACAAATATATATATCTGTACTATGTACTTTTGTGTAAACACTGAAAAATCTCTGGTCATCTCTAAAAATTAACTTGTAACCATTTTCTATAGTGTTGTTGTCTTGGGCAATTACATGACTTTGTGTTTGTTTCCTTTGCGGTCTTATTTTTCTTTTTTTTCTGATGGGGAGAACAGGCCACCGTGTCGGGTCCCATCCCTGGGCACGAGCCCTGGCACGGGCTGCATGCTGGCGCCTCTCCCCGGCTGCGCCTGCCCTTCCCCTCTCTTTCAAGTCCGTGCTGAGCTCCCGAGGGAGAGGACACCTGTGAACAGCTTTAATCAAATCATACAAACTATTTTCTTACACTTCATGCTTCGGTGGTGTTGATCTTCCACAACGAAACGGTCCTTGGTAATGGGTCTATTTTGTATTGCCTTATTAAGACCAAGTACTTCTCGTCATCCCATTCTTCGCCCCTCCTTCCACGGAGTTGTTTTCTTTCATTAAAACTGTGTTAAACATTGGCTTGTTTCAATCATACTGTAAATTTTGGTTGTGGTCAGCTTTGAGTGCAAACGAGATGTACGATTCTGTTATTCGTCACATGTTGAGTTTGCAGCTCGATTGGGAATATTACTATGATCGAATGTAAGTGACCTTCTGAAAATGCTTTCTGTGGGTGACAGCGCTGTGCTGAGCTTTGGTGGTGCGGCTCTGCTCACGGCAGCATGTCGGAGATGGGTCTTTTCTGTGTAGACGTGTCAAGTACTGGTTGCTTTTAGGAGTTTCTTTTATATACATTTATGAAATACTGAAGACCAATCAGACCATTAATGGACACTTAGTGCGACTTTTTATAAAGAAAATAATGCTAAAGACCGACCAAAACTGATATCATCACTGAAATCAACAATTTTCAATATGTTCGTATTTAAATCCACAACCGAAAAATGTGTTCCAGGACTGGAAACTCAATACCTGTGTAAACCGTGGGAGATGTTCAATGTGATATTCCTTTGACAATGTTTTAAATTTTAGAGTCACATGTTATTCTGATTAGTTTTTATCAAGGTGTCGAGCCTGTGTTTTTTGAAACTAGTTTGTCATAACATATTGTGTGCATAATCACAGTATTTATTTTCCAGGACTATTGTGAATGTGTAGACTTATGTTTACTGCTAAGGGAACAATTATTTATAAAATAAAATTAAATTCAGTATTAGCTGCCTACTTCAGACACTTAATACCTGCAGAGATCGTGTTACATTGGCCACACTGAAGTTTTTTTTAAAGAATCACCCTCATTGTTGAAAGTGAATGTACTCTTAGGGTGCAGATATTAGTGTTCCAATAAGCATGTGATTTTATTCAAGGTGGTGGTAGCGGGAAGATAATCTTGATTCCATTGGGAATCTTAGGTTTTCGTCAATTTATTGGGAAAATAGTTTTTCCTGTACTGCTGACGTTTCTTTTTGGTAAACAGTATCTTTCTAAAAGAAAAAGCATGAAGGAGAAATCGAGGCGTGTACATTTCCTCAAACGACCAGCATTGTATTCGTGAATACTTGTATCTTGCAGTGGACAGTGGGGAGCTGTTCATTTTTCAATGCGAAGTAAAATACTTTCAAGAACTTTTAGTTTGCCTTCTCATTTGTTTTGTACATTTCATCTCTGTGTTTGACTCCTGCCTGTTTGACTTTTTCGAGGTTTGATGCTTAAGATTTGCTGAACCTGTCAGAAACGCTTCGCTTGCAGACACAGCCCACCGTCGCCGTGAACCGTAACCCGGAACCGTGACCTTCCTTTCCGGCACTTGGTCACGGATTCTGCCGCGCTGCGGGGACTTTTCTCTGGCTCGTGTGTGCGCCCGGCCGGTGTTGATGCTCCTTACGAAGTCGTAGTAGACGTTTAAATGCTGGTGTTTAGAGGTGCTGATGGGTCAGAGGTGTCAGCACTAAACCCAAGTGGTTCTGTTGGATGAGAAAGATCAATGCATTTTCCCTCCAGTTCTGAGGTGTCCGTGAGGTGCCTGGTTCTCGGCGTCGGTGTCTTGTCGGAGAGGTTGCCCGTGGTTTCCAGCTCTGACTCATGGGGCCGGCTGGTTTCGTGTGCAGCCGCCGTCCAGTCTTCAGGATTGGTGATCGCACGACATGTTTTACCCATTTCGAGTGTGTTCCATCTTACGTACATCTGGAACATCCCTTTAATGTTTAGGTTATTGCCTTGGCTAAGATATTCCTGGGTAAAGTCTTGACAGAGCAAAGCATGGGTGGTGGAGACAGCGTTTTTAATAGTGTTTTCCTCTAGAGTCTTAACTCTCCATGTGTCCCCCCCCCCACCCCCCCGTAATGGTGAGTGGGAGCTGTGTTTGCGTCCCTGGGGTCTAAGGCTTGGGGTCTCCAGGACTGGAGGGGGGCTGGGGAGCATGACTGCTGTGAGCTGCAGGGCCCAGTACTACAATGCCTGCTCCCGCAGAGGACCGCCCCCCCAGTGACTAGGGTGTGGTTGTCAAGGTCGCTCTGTAAAAATCCCTACAGCTTTGCTGATAATTTAATTCGTTATGGCTATATCATCTCAATTTTAATATTCATCTAGAGTTTTATCAATGATAACACACTGTTGATTTCTTAGTGTTCTAGTCACTAATTGGGAATATTGATAGGAAATTGATTGCCTCTCAGTTACTTTCCAAATAGTAAATGCTAAAGTATAAAAACGACATTGCCAATTTAGCTGTGACAAATATCAAAAAATGTTAAAATTAATGATCAGAAGAGTTTATTCTTACTCTTCGGTTCTTACTGCCCCAGCTCATTAAACTGTTTGCATTGGCGGAAAGCAACATTCTCATGAAATGTTTTGTGAGCAAAACATTCTATAAATGGCTCTATTGAACAGCTGAGTAGCCAAGTTATATTGCATAGTTACTCTTTATCCCAATTTTCATCAGTGACATCGTCCGTCTAGTGAAATGTTTAGAGAATGATGCAGCGTTGAAGTGGGGACAGACAGGTAGGAGCCATCCCTGGCAAGCGGCTTACAGCTTGTGAACCTCAAGACTGTAGTTAGCTGCCATTCTGTTAAGACATTTATGGGCAGGATCGTGTTAACATTTATTAACAAATTTAATATCCCACTTGATATTCAGCGTCACTAAGAAGCGAGGTTGCACCGTGGCAGTGATGCTGTGGCTCGAGAGGCTGACACCCAGAGCCCCTTCCTCGGCCGCGTGCCCTCGAGCGGTGTTGCCTTTACACCTTAGGCCGCTCGCTTCCCTCAGAGAGAATGAGCTAAATAAGCGGAATGTTGACAGAATTATTAACCAGAAGGATTGCCTAGAAACTCGACTGACCTAGTTGATATCCAGAATTAAATGTTTACTTAAGGACAGTTTTTAGTTAATAAGCTGCTCATGTTTGTTTTATTCTTATCGCAGTTTTTTTTTTTAAGTATTTGGCCTTTGCATTTTTTTTTTTCTTTATTTATTTTAGAAAGAGAGGGAGAGAGAGGTAGAAACATCAATGAGAGAACATCAACTGGCCGCCTCCTGCACGCCCCCCACCGGGGATCGGGCCCCCAACCTGGGCATGTGCCCTGACCGGGAATCGAACCGGCGACCTCTTGGTGCAGGGTCGACGCTCAGCCACTGAGCCACACCGGCCGGGCAGATGTTCTCTTCATTTGTGCATTTCAGCAAGTGTTGATTGGCATCCGCATGTCATCTGCATTCTAACCTAAGCCCTCGCCGTTCCCTGTGGCCTGGGCTCCTTTTCTCTGCAGCAGCTTCTGCGCGGCCTGATGCCAGGGAAGGTCTCCACCGAGGAAACAGTCTGTATGAATTGGTTAGGAGTCTTGTTGTATCTTACAGGTGCTACTGTAAAGAGAGACTGTGAAGGGAAACAGACTGGTGGGGACCTGGACGGTGGGTGGGGTGGGAAGTCTGGAGCCGTGACCTGACTCCTGTGGACTGCGAAGCCGCGGTCTGAGCGAGGTTAGCGGTTACCAGCCGCGTTCTCTGAGCTGAACCTTAAGCTTCCGCTTCCAGCTCGGGTTCTGTGCACGTCCCGGCTGCTTCCTAAGTCACACTGTCACTGCCTTTGGCTGACGGTTTATCCTGACGGGTCTTTTGTCCCCAAGCTTCATCTCGAAATTTAAGATTTCCTCCCTCTGATTCCTATAGATTGAAAATTTCAGGAGTCTCTTTTTAAAAATAAGTCATTTGAAGGTCCTGTAGTCCTGAAATAACCCGAGGACTCGTCCCAAGTGTCGGTTTTCACTCGGTGCCGCTCGAAGGCACCCCTTACCCCCCGCGTGCAGACTAAACAGCCGGGGTCGCAGTGGGGCTTGTGGGCGTACGGTGTGAGATGCCAGTTTTTAGTGGGATGTACACAGCTGCATATGTTAGAAGTTTGGTGAGCCCGTGTCTGTCTTTAATAACCTGTGTGTTCATTTCCTCTGATCAGCGTTGCCTTCTGTGTTGAGAAGCGTGGACCCCTGGGAGGTGCTGGAGGTTTGACTCATCTTGACAGCCCTCCCGTCTTGTCTGGTTGCCGCCGCAGAGCGCTAAGGACTGTGCCAGAGAAAACGCGATTTGACACGAACGGGTTACGGAGTCTCAGCGTTTCCTGAGGTCCCGCCACCGGGCACCAGTTATCGATCCTGTGAATGAATTGCACCCCTGGAAGGTCTTTCTAGTGAACGGCGACTTCTTCAAAGATGCCAATGGTTTGCCTTGAAAATTTTATGAATTGCATTTCTACACACAGCTGCCCCAGTGCTCCCCACTGGGCTTATTATTCATAATCCGCACTTCAATAAAGGCTTTGTGCTTTCATTTATCTTCGGCACCCCTGGTGTGAGCCTTTATGTGAAACCTGAATGGCCGCCTTCTCTTCATTTATCTTGTAATTTTAAAGAGCCCTGTTTACACAGCGAGAGCTTTTCTTGCACAAAGATGGCATTGCTGTGGGTTTTTATCCTCGTTAATGCCCGTCCCGGAGTTGGGTGATTCCTTAAGATGCTGTTTTTCCTCGTGCCCAGGTCCTGGCCAGAGGCATCCAGTTGCCTCCCGCAGCCCCCGGCGAGGCTGGAAACGGGCCCCCGAGGATGTGGTTATTCCAAGGCCGGCCCGGTTTTAGCCTTGGCTTTAGTGCAAGGGGTCACGCTTGCTGCACTGAGAAACGGGGGTGCTTCCCCACGGGTTCCTCACACAGACCCTAGAGCAATGAAAATGTTTCCTTCTCCAAAGGACAGAGGGGGCAGGATCCGTAGCCACGGGCCAGCAAACCATTCCTCCGAGCCCTCCGTCAGGGCAGAGCTGGCTGCCCAGGCCCCCCGAGTGGTGGACACGGTCCTGGGTCGGCCACAGCATCCCAGGCTGGATTCCAGGCAAGAGTGGCCTGGGCAGCTGCCCGTCCAGCCTGCTCACTTCTCACGTTGACTGGCAACGTTCTCTTTAAAAAAGAAGAAAAAGTATAGTCCAGTTAAATACGTTTCTCAAATGGTAAATTAGAGAGTTAATGATATACAGGCAATTTGGTCCATCTCCTCAGACACCGAATTTACTGAATTTCTCAACTAATGAATGTGTTTCCTTATGAAGGCATGTAAGATGTAAATAAATACCTGAATAAAGGGACCTAATTTTCTTTCACCCCCACTGAGCTCCCTAAAGCTGCTTTAACGTTTTGGGATGTATCCTTGATTTTTTAAAATGCATTTACAGCCCTGGCCGGTTCGGCTCAGCAGTTAGAGCGTCAGCCTGCGGTCCAGAGAGACCTGGGTTCGGTTCCCGTAAGGGCACGTACCTTGGTTGCAGTTTGTCCCCAGCCCTGGTTGGGTCGTGTGGGTGGCAATCAGTCAGTGTGTATCTCTCAAATTGATGTTTCTCTCTCTCTCTTTTGAAACACTTGCTAGGATGGAAGTGTTTAAATGCAACAAGGCATCTGAGACCACCCTGTTACTGTTTCTCTGTTTCCAGTTTTTGGGAAGTGCAGCCCTGGACAAAACAGATGGCAGAAAATCAGTTTCATTGCTCGCTCCCCACCACCTGCCCCCTCAAACTTGTTCCTTTCATTTTAAGACCCGTCAGTAATGGCAGCAGCTAAAACTAAAACTCTAAAAACAACTTATCTGTCCCCTCAAAATGCATAAAAATGAGTTACCTGTCTTAAAGTAGGGGCGACTGTCATGAGCAAAGAGGAAACGGGCGAGAAGGCTCCGGTGCTTCCGAGAACCTGGGGTCTGCTGGAGAAAGAGGGTGGAGGCGGCCTGGGGGGTTGCCAACAGGGACGCCCCAATCCTTAGCAGCATCGTGCTTTTACTGTTTCCCGGGAGACACTTTCTTTGAACTCCCTTCCTTGGGTTCTCATTATGTGTGTGTAGAATTTCCTCTGTGACTTCTGCTCATTAGAGTCCAGTCAAGTCTATCAGAGATGCCCTGTATTTACCAGGTGGGTTTAGGAATGCAACAACTGTGACTTAAATTGGGGCCATTTTTCACCTTTTATTTTTTCTTTATTGATTTTTAGAGAAAGAGGAAGGGAGAGGCAGAAACATCGATGAGAGAGAACATCAATTGGCCCCCTCCTGCATGCCCCCTACTGGTGATCGGC